ATACATGAAGAAATGCCAACTGCTGGCAACACCCAGAAGCTCGGAGAGAATCATGGAATAGATTCTCCTCTGGAGCCTGCAGAGGGCACATGGCCCTCCCAACACCTACTTTGACTTCAAACTTCTAGCCTCCAGAACTATAAGAAAATAAATTTCTGTGGTTTTAAACCTCCCAGTTTGTAGTAATTTGTTACAGCAGCTCTAGGAAATTAATAAAAACCCATGGCCCATTTTTACATTGGGCTGTCTTATTTTTTTTTAAAGATGGGGGTCTCACTGTATTACTCAGGCTGGCCTTGAACTCGCAGGCACACGTGATCCTCCTGCCTCAGCCTCCTGAGTAGCTGGTACTATAGACGTGCCACTGTTCCCAGCTTAGTGTTATCTTCTTATTGAGCTGTTAAGTCCTTTAAATATTCTGGATACAAGTCCCTTATCAGACACATGATTTGTAAATATTTTCTCCAATTCCGTGGGTTTTTTTCATGGATCTTTTGAAGCATATTGTAAATTTTGATGAAGTAGAGATTATAAATTTTGCTTTTCTTGCTCATGGTTTTGATGTCATATTTAAGAATCCTTTTCTAAATCCAAGGTCATGAAGATTTAACCCTGTTTTCTTCAAAGAATTTTATAATTTTGACTTGTATATCTAGATCTTTGATTCATTTTGGGTTGTTATATATGTTACGAGGTAAGGGTCCAAGTTTATTTTTTTGCATGTGGCCATCTAGTTGTCCCAGCATCATTTATTGAAAAGACTATTCTTTCCCCCCATTGAATGGTATTAGTGCTCCTGTTGAAAATCAGTTGACCATAGACATATGGTTTTATTTCTGGACTCTTGAATCTAATCTATATGTCTACCCTTGTGCCAATACCACACTGTGTTACCTTGAACTCCCAGCCTCAAGTGATCCGCCCACCTTGGCCTCCCAAAGTGCTAGGATTATAGGCATGAGCCACCCTGTCCAGCCTTTTAAATACTATACTGCCTTGATGACTGTTTCTTTGTAGCAAGTTTTGAAATCAGGAAGTATGGATATTAGTTTGTTCTTTTCAAGATTGTTTTGGCTATTCTGGATCCTTTGCTTAAGAGTTTTAGAATCAGCTTGTCAATTTCTACAAAGAAGTCAGCTAGGATTCTGATGGGAATTGCACTGAATCTGTAGATCAATTTGGGGAGTACACCCTTCTAAACAATATTAAGTCTTCTGACGCATGAATATGGGACATTTTCCCATTTATTTAGATATCCTTTAATTTCTGTGTTATACCATTTGCATTGCTAAAAAGAAGTAACTGAGGCTGAGTGAAAAGAGGTTTATTTTGACTCAGTTCTGCAGGCTGTACCAGCATGGTGGCAATATATGTCCAGCTTCTGGTAAGGGCCTCAGGAAGCTTACAATCGTGATGGAAGCTGAAGGGGGAGCAGGCGTTCACATGGTGAGAGGGAGCAAGGGAGATGCCAGGCTCTTTTTTAAATATATTTTTTATTTTTTTTAAACAATCAGCTCTCGAATGAAATAATACAGTGAGAACTCACTACTGCAAGGATAGCACCAAGCCATTCGTGAGGGATCTGCCTCCATGCTCCAAACACCTCCCACTAGGCCAACCTCCAACAATGAAGTTCGCATTTCAGCATGAGATTTGGAGGAGACAAATGTTCAAGCCAGATCAATTTCTTACAACAACTTTTTTGTAGTTTTCAGAGTATATACTTTATAGTTCTTTTGTTAAATGAGAATTTTAAATGAAATTATCTTCTTAATTTCACTTTTGGATTGTTCACTGCAAGTGTATAGCAACACTATTTTTGTATATTGACCTATCCTTCAATCTTGCTGAAATTGTTTACTGGTTCTAATAGTTTTTTTAGTGGATCCCTTAGGATTTTCTAAATACACGATGTCCAGGCATGGTGGCTCACACCTGTAATCCTAGCACCTTGGAAGGATGAGGTGGGCAGATCATTTGAGGTCAGGAGTTTGAGACCAGCTTTGCCAACATGGTGAAACCCCATCTCTACCAAAAAATACAAAAATTAGCCAGGCATGGTGGTGCGTGCCTGTAATTCCAGCTAATTGGGAGGCTGAGGCAGGAGAATCGCTTGACGTTGCGAGGTGGAGGTTGTGGTGAGCTGAGATTGTCACTGCACTCCAGCCTGGGCAATTGAGTAAGACTCTGTCTAAAAACAAAACAAAACAAACAAACAAAAAAACCCAAAAAGATTATGTCATCTGTGACTAGAGATTGTTTTACTTTTTCATCTCCAGTTTTATTTATCTTGCCTAATTGCCTTGGCTGGAATTTCCAGTACAATGTTGAGTAAAAGCAGGACCTAATCTATATATATATGGTGGCCTTAATCTACAACCACTTTTTCTCAGTATATGGTTTCCTACTACCCAGGGTGCCTCTGATTTAATTTTTTTTCCACAGAGATTCATACCAGTGGGCTTTTGCAAGGTGTGGATGAGGAACAGATATAAACATCTTAACATTGATTTTAAGCAATCTGCCTGTCTTACTCTTGCCTTCTGTGGCCTCTGGTATCTCCAATTCCTGGGCTTCTCTGATATTTATCTGTCTCTGTAAGTACCTGACTTTGATCTTCCACTCCTCTGCTAAGTTATTTGCCTTTCTTTTATCTACTTTCCATTGATATCTATTGTGACTTGGAGTTACAGATATCTCCCAGTTCAGGGAAGACAGAGTTTGTGTGTCTATTTGTTGTTCTCCTTGTTTTGTAAATAAAAATTTTTCAGAGGAGAGAAAAAATATATTTTTGCTGTCTTCAAGTCAGAATTCAGTCCTAGAATTGGAAGAAATGTAACGGCCAAAATGATAAAATAAATGATCTCATCATTAGGTTAATTAATGAAGAGCTAAAACCAGGATTCAGAATCCCTGATACCCTGGCCATGATTAAATTATAATTGGTTCTTACTCCATAGAATCATATAGTTTGAGAGGGGGGAAGTACCTCTGAAGTTTTCAGCCAATTTCCCGAATTTTCCGTAAGTCTCCTCAACAATGTAAGTGGATTTCAGCATTGGTTAAAATATCAATGTGAATGGGAGCATTCACTCTATTCCATGACTATCTATTCTTATTTCAGAGAGCTCTGATTATTGGAAAGATTTTTTCCCTGAAACATTTTTTCTTCACTTCTTCACACTGTATCTAGTTCTGCCCACAGAAGTTACAAAGAACTACTGTATGTACAAATAATATAGTTTGGTAGCTGGAATACTGGCTACTCTAGAGATATGATACTATACTCACTGCCTCTATGTACAATCTATAACTAAGACAGTTCACCAGCAAAATGGAGAAAAAGCTCAACTCTCACATAACAGAGATTGAGACAATTAATAAACAGCAACTGTAATTAAAAAAAAATTCTAAGCTAGCTAGTTCTCAATCCATTAAATAAGATTGCTGGGTAGAAGAAGAAATGACTATCAGGTGGGTCAGAGGATATGTAAGAAATAACCAAGTGAATATTACAGGGAGATAAAACAAGTTGTATAAGCACATACAAATTTAAAAGTAGAAGTTGCTCAGAGAATTCAAAAGTATGGCTAGTGCACAAGGTGGGTATGAAGAAGACATGGAAAATTAGTTAGGAAAGGCAATAATGCTAAATATTAACATTTATTGAGTAAGCTACATTCTGGCCACTACTGGGTACTTTACATGTAAGAACCCTCGAAAACAAACCTTTTATGAGTAGATGACGGCGTATTTTAAGATGCGGGAAAAAGGAGGTATGCGGGAGTGTTAGGTAACTTGCCTAAGATTATGTAACTAATAACCATGGCAGAGATGGGCTCTGAAGCCCAGCGTAGTGGAGTGCCTTATTTAGAAGTGGTTTCATATGATGGCCTTTTTATTCGGAAGGGTTCTAGGACACTTCTTTAGGTAGCCAATTGGAGACATTGGTAATCTTTCCTACTTTCATTTTGGCTCAGCTATTGTCAAAGGAGTATCAGCTGATAAAGATAGGTGATCAGTTTAGGGATCACCAGTGGAGGCACGAAGACTTCCAACACTGACCGTATATCAACTAAAGGACACGGGGAATGACAGACCTGCTTTACTTGGCTGGTGCGCGCACTCAGATATTATAGAATTGGCACACGGAGACCCTTTTACTATCCTATTCAAGATGAACATAGGAATTGAGGAGCTGCTGAAGGGAGAAATAAGTAAGTGGGTGGCACAGTCAGTAACTGATGCCACGTTTCTTTTTTTTTTTTTTGGCTATTGTTTTGTATTCCATGAACCTTTTCGTCAATGCATATAGAAAAAAAATAGATATTTTTACAACAAAACTCCCACTAATTAAGCACAGCCAGGCACTATGCTAAGTGTTTTATACATATTAGCTCATTTAATCCTCACAGCAACCCTAGGAGATAGGCACATTATTTTTCTTTTGCAAAGGAGGGACACTGAAGCACAAAGACATCTACAACTTTTCCACAATTGTACAGCAAATGAGCGTGACAACTAAGTGAAGCTGGAAAGAACTATAAACTGTAGACAAGTACAAAACAATTGGTTAAAGATTAGTACTTGTGAGATACTGTGTAGCAGAAAGAAACCCGGATTTGGATTAGGACTTGAAATCAGCCTCCAACATTTACTGCTGTGTAAAGATTTGAGGTTGCTCACTCCTATAAAATTTGGATTATAATACTTACCTCATAGGGTTTTTGTAAAGATCTAGTGACGTGATTATTGTAAAAGTGCACTATCTCTCAGATGTTACAGAAACGTTAGAAGTATCTCCTCCCAGGATTGTACATGGAAATGAGAGATCCACAGATGGTGTGGCTATAGAACACTCGGACTACCGATCCCAGTGTGCAAAGCCTCCGGGCTTACTTTCCCGGAAACCGGCGCAGTGCCCTCTGGGACTTGTTCTGGGACTTGTAGTCTTGTACTGGCGCTGGCCCACCTTTCTTCCTCAGTGGGGAAACCGGGCGTAAGCCCCGGAAGTACTTGTTGCCTGAGCAGCGTGCTGCTTAGGAAGAGAAGGTCAGAGGTCGCGGGGCAGAGGCGTTCCAGCCGCTGGCCCAGTCACTATGTAGTGGAGGGGCAGACACCCTCTCACAAATTCTGGAAGGTTCTTAGTCTCGACTAGGGAAGTAGCCCCAGGACTCCTAGTCGCCGGCTTCAGGTCACTGCCGGCTGAACGGAGCTGCCGTCGCCATGTTTGGCTGCTTGGTGGCGGGGAGGCTGGTGAGGATGGGACCGAGTGGTATCAGGAAGGGGTCAGGATATCAGGGCGAAGCCCTGCGGCGGGGAGGGTACGCAGGCTCTAGGGATGCGGGGAAGCCCACTTAACTGTATTTTGGCTGGGTATGTGAGGATGGAGCGTGGGAAGCTGGGTGCTCTCCTATGCCCAGCTCCGTTCAGATTCTTTCGAATAGTAGTCACAGTATTAGTTGGTATTTATTAAGTGTGCATTTTGTACAAGTACTGGGCTAAGTGCAGTGTACGCCTTTGGTCACTCAGCCTTATGTGTGGCGCTTATTTGGCACTTTGAACTTAATCCTCATAACTCGTGAGATGGTCTTTATCTTTGACATTTTGCAGTTAAGGAACTAAGTTCAATCGCCAGTATAAATGCCTCCCTTATTACCGTGAGGTAGAGGTGAATTTGGGATTGAATCTGGTCTATAGCAAACGGTTTTTCAAAGATTAAGGTGCTCAGGCAGTGTATATCTGCTGGGTCCCTTTCGAAGAACCCCAGTAAAAATATGCTTAATTTAATTGGAAGTTGGCAGAAACTTAACGTGTGAACCGTATCTGAGATAACCAGAGAAGGATGCAAGTAGTGTGTTTCCTTATTGGTCAAAATAGATAACCTACATTGCCAAATTGTTAGAGTAAATGAGATCAGCACCTGGAATTCTTTAGGAATAATCTGGAAGGTGAATCTTTTTTGTTTCCTTAGAAACCACACAGACATCAGTTTTCAGGCCTGACTCCTTTCCCCTAGAAGTATTTTTCCTTCTTTTTTCTTCTGGCTTTTTTAAATGTTGCAATCCCTTTGTTGAACTGTCTTTTTTTCCCATCAAGTTTTGATAATGTATTGTATTCTGTACATATACAGTTCTAAGAAGCCAGAAAGATAAATTGGAGATGACTAGCCTCATAAAGTTTGTCTCTTGAATGACTGTGAGACCCCTGTGGTGATGGTGGTAATTCATAATCCTGGTGAGATAATTCTACCCTGCTCTTAATAGGGAAAAAGAAAGGACAACCCTGGAATGATTGTGTGACTCAGACGAGTGAGTGTTATTAATTAATGACATTAAAATTGTGTTTCTCAGAGAATAAAAAACCTATTTGGAATCCATGTATCTCTCATGTTGTCAACTAATTTGGAAGGAAATTCAATTATAGTAATACCTGTCTCTATATATTAGGGATACTTAGTCCTTTAATTATGGGGTATTAGGACATATCAAAGTGAAGGACAAATAGACCTAGTGGCATCTCAAAACTTAACTACATTACTCTGTTATAAGAAAAATTTACTTATCTAAACTTACGAACCCAGTTTTTATTTCTTGAGATTTTTTTCTTAAAGAGATAATACCTTTTCTTAATGTGAAAAATTAGAGTGTGATGATACAGATTTGCAGACTGCTCAGTACCCATACAAAGTTGACACTTAAGAAATACTTATTTTGCCTGGTGGTTATTTCAAGACTCACAAATAATAGTTTCCCACGCTTTTTAGGTTATATGCATGCCAAAGACTGGTGAAATTGAATTTAATACTAATACTGGCCATTTGGTTTATGTTCTTCCTTTGTTTTATTATTTGTACTAAAGCTGGAGGATTTTAAATTGGGTCAGAATACTTCTGAAGAGGGAATCAGAATTTGACTTTAGGAACTCTCAGCCTTTGTATCTTGGGACTTAATTTAGGGCAGGCAGTTGATACTACTTTATAACTAATAGGTAGTTGAAATTACATAGCAGTATATTTTTCTTAAGTTTCTTTGTATCAGTAGATAGGATATTATAGAAGGAAAACTTACCTAACACACATATTTTCTCTGTAAGGCATGCCATGGCCTTCTTGCACTTAGGAAGGCTAGCCAGCACTTGAACTTGGTCATTTTAAACAGCACAATCACCAACAAAAATCACAAAAATGCTTTAAATAGATTAGACTGTGAAAAGGACACTGTTTCATATTATGAGGACTGAAACAAGATGGCATGTTCTACCTCAGCTGCCAGTGTGTGAGTTGCACACTCTTTTTTTTTTTTTTTTTTTTTTTTGAGATGGAGTCTTACTCTGTCATCCAGACTGGAGTGCAATGGTATGATCTCGGCTCATTGTAACCTCCGCCTCCAGGTTCAAGCGATTCTCATGCCTCAGCCTCCCAAGTAGCTGAGACTACAGGCTTGTGCCCCCATGTTCAGCTAATATTTGTTATTTTCAGTAGAGACTGCGTTTCGCCATGTTGGCCAGGCTGATCTGGAACTCCTGACCTTAGGTGATTCACCTGCCTTGGCCTCCCAAAGTGCTGGGATTACAGGCGTGAGCCTCCGTGCCAGGCCTACAACTCACATTTTTTGCTACTGTTCATATGAGTGTGTCCATGAATGACTGCAGAAATGCAGCAAGCATTGATTTGGGATTACAAATTTTAGTGAGTAGACGAATTCAGATAAAGGATTTGTGAATAAGGAGGATTGCCTAATTACTTCCGGATTGCTTACCTGTTTTAATTACCTGACATTCTTTCTTATATTTATTTTTGGGACAGGGTCCCGCTCTGTCATCCAGGCTGGAGTGCAGTGGCGGGACCTCGGCTCACTGCAGCCTTGACATCCCAGGTTCAAGTGATTATCTGTCCTTAGCCTCCCAAGTAGCTGGGACCAAAGGTGCATGCCACTACCCCTGGCTAATTTTTGTATTTTTTATAGAGATGGGATTTTGCTGTGTTGCCCTGGCTAGTCTCCAACTCCTGAACTCAAGCCAGCTGCCTGCCTCGGCCTCCCAAAGTGCTGGGATTACAGGCATGAGCCATCGTACCTGGCCCCTTTATCTTTAAACTGTAGGGTGAGAGCTTAGGTGATGTGTTTTGAATAACCTTTCATCTTTACAGCATTCTAAAGCTACAGTTATTTTTATTTATTTATTTTTTGAGACAGCATTTAGTCCAGGCTGGAGTGCAATGGCGCGATCTCGGCTCACCACAACCTCCACCTCCCGGGTTCAAGTGATTCTTCTGCCTTAGCCTCCCGAGTACCTGGGATTATAGGCATGTGCCACCACACCTGGCTAATTTTGTATTTTTAGTAGAAATGGGGTTTCTCCATGTTGGCCAGGCTGGTCTTGAACTCCTGACCTCAGGTGATCTGCCTGCCTTGGCCTCCCAAATTGCCAGGATTACAGGCGTGAGCCGGCACGCCTGGCCTTGTTATTTTTTATGTAAGTAGAATCCTTTCAGGGCACCTGTGAAATAATTTATTTTAATTTAATTTTTATTTTTTTAGACAGAGTTTCACTCTTGTTGCCAGGCTGGAGTGCAGTGTGGTCTCAGCTCACTGCAACATCCGCCTCCTGGGTTCAAGCGATTCTCCTGCCTCAGCCTCCCAAGTGGCTGGGAATACTTGTGCATGAGCCACCATACCTGGCTAATTTTTGTATTTTTAGGAGAGATGGGGTTTGCCCTGTTGGCCAAGCTGGTTTTGAACTCCTGACCTCAGGTGATCTGCCCGCCTTGGCCTCCCAAAGTGCTGAGATTACAGGTGTGAGCCACTGTGCTCGGCCTGAGTTATATTTTTAAAAGATTGCATTTAGTAGATTATGATTGTAAAACTAAGTATGTGTTTAAGACTATCAGGTTTAACATTTTATTTGGTAATATAACTTATAAACGATAGTGTTAAGAGTTACAGAAACTCATAGAACTATTGAACTAAGACAAGTTTCTTATTTTCTAGGTGCAAACAGCTGCACAGCAAGTGGCAGAGGATAAATTTGTTTTTGACTTACCTGATTATGAAAGTATCAACCATGTTGTGGTTTTTATGCTGGGAACAATCCCATTTCCTGAGGGAATGGGAGGATCTGTCTACTTTTCTTATCCTGATTCCAATGGAATGCCAGTATGGCAACTCCTAGGATTTGTCACGAATGGGAAGCCAAGTGCCATCTTCAAAATTTCAGGTCTTAAATCTGGTAAGAATAATATGTTAAAGTAGTTTTATAATTAATCAAACCTTTTTCTTAAATAGCATAACATGGAATATGGCTTTTCCCCCTTTCGATTGTGTTTTTCTGGTTGTTGAAGTAATACAAAACATTATTTTTTATAAAACAATACAAGAACACCCAGAATTCATAAAGCAAGTCCTTAGAGACTACAAAGAGACTTAGACTCCCACACAATAATAATGAGAGACCTTTAACCACCTCACTGTCACAACATTAGACGATCAACGAGCCAGAAAGTTAACAAGGATATCCAGGACGTGAACTAGAGCTCTGGACCAAGTGGACCTAATAGGACATCCTACAGAACTCTCCACCCCAAAATCAACAGAATAATACATTCCTTCTCAGCCAACCAACATTCGCACTTATTCCAAAATTGACCACAATAGTCTGAAGTAACAGCCACTCCTCAGCAAATCGTAAAAGAACAGAAATTAATACACAAACCTCTCTCAGAGCCACAGTGCAATCAAACTAGACACACTCCA